GAATTAGTCTCTTGTTGCGGCATTTCATTTGGAGGATTATCAGCGAGTTTTTTTAGCAGGTGAGACTTCTTTAGATTAGTGCAAATTTGGAGCCCTTTTGTTTTCCTGTGCGCTCTCCATGTTAACTGGTACCGGGTAAAGCCTCATGCCTAGTCTTCCTTGATTCATTCCACACATCTTTCACACAAGGAACGAAGGAAAAGAAAATTTACATCCTGTGTTGTGTTGTTTGTCTGTTCTCTCTTTGGTAGATCTGCTCATTCTTGAGGTGTCATGTTTGTTTTTCTGTTGTTTTCTTTTTCTTGCCAAGAGAATTACCTCGTTCCCATAAACTTTTAAGAACAGAACAACCCTGTTAATGGGGGAAAAAAAACATTTGACATCATCGAGTAAAAGCGACTTCAAAGGAAATGGGGGTTCACCGATCCGACTCCGAGGAACCATCTTCCTACCAGCACATCATTGGACTTCCTAATGACATACTCTGCTGAAATAGATTCAAACTGCTCAAAGGATTTCTAATGTACGAAAACAAAAGGAACACAATCCCATCTGGTTGAAAGACCAGGAATACCTCGTGCCAACTTCGTATCTATGGAGCTTAATTTCGTCCACCATGGATCCGAGGTTGCAACTCTTGCCCTGTCAATTTTAATGCCCAATACACCGAACCCAACAAAAGATGCCCAATCACAGGTTAGTAGCATATGCTCGACAGTTTCTTTTTTGCCAAAAAGACTACAGCAAGCCTTCTGCTTTATTCTTGTTCTGCACTAGCAAGTGCATCATAAACGGCCCTTCGAAGAAAGTTGTTCTGTTTGGGAGGAGAGTCAATACTCCAAACGGCCTTCCCTGCCTTCTGATTCACGTTATGTGAGCTTGAATGCCCCTTCTTGCCTGGTATCTCCTGCACAATTTTGAAGAATTATAGGCAGATTTCGTGGTAAGTTGCCCACCTATAGTGACACTCAAGAGTAGCCAACTTCTTATCCCTGCTCATATATAGTTGTATGGATGAGAAGTCCCATGCATTTGTATCCTTGCAGATTAGGCGCTCCATTAACATGCTTCTATTGACACCTACCCGCCTGCTGATTTGAATTGACATCCCTCTAGGCTTGGTAGCCATCTTCATTCCACGAGCTGATATTTTTCCTATATAAACTTGCCACATTGCTCCTTGTCCGACTACCGTTCCTTCCAATAGACTGGCCCATCCCCCAAAAGTACTTGCCCCTTTGTGTAGCTTAATAAAAAGGGAGATATCAGGATAACAGATTCCTTTCGGCACTTTCACCCGTAAAGCATCAGATCCTTTAGTTGTCCTGGAGGCAAGTTTGAAGTATCGTTAGCAGGGCCCCGTAAAACACACACAGAATTTAGATCCTAATCCCCCCGCAGATTGGGTTGAGCAAGACACTGCCAACTCTTCAATGATGCAAAATCACAGTAATCACCTGTCAACTCTTTTTAGTATTTTGAAAGTTGGATATGATACAAAGAGTGAATCCCTCTAATTCACCAATAATCACTTGTCACGTCATTTGATAAACAAGATTTATTACGTTTTTCTTGGTTAATCTAGCATTTCTCATTCTTTCTAGTTCTGTTTTCCATTTCATTCTTCTCTTGCACCTCGAATAATGATTAACAATTAACAGTTCGGAAATGCCGAAGTACTCAATTATTGGATAGAAGTCAAAGTATAAATGCTGAAAGCTAAAAAGTTTTGTACCTGGAATACTAACTGACCACATTTTTCCCCTAATGCTCTCAGCAATCTTACAATGGATGCCAACACAATTCTCGGAATCGCCAAGCATGCCATCAGTTTTGTTCAAAAGGTCAGCATTCTCAGAACATATGAGAAAGCTGAACCTGGAGGTATTGGCTCGTCAGCTTGGCGCTCAGTTAGCTAATCTTCGAGTACGATCTACCTTGATTGGCAGAATCAAGTCTGAACATGACGAAGATCCTCAGTTGCAGAAAATCAGATAAGGTGTAAGAAGTTAGGGGACAAGCAGATTTCACTATCAATGTGGACGGGTCTTATTTGTGGTCGGCTATGTGTTCCTGGTAAAGGAGTTTGAAAAAGAAGCTCACAACACCATATTCTCAATAGACCCGGGAGCACTAAGATGCATAGGGATTTGAGAGAATACTTTTGGTGGATTATCGTGAAAAGTGAGCATCGATAATGAGCATCGGTAACCCAGTTGAGCATATCATCATGATTTATCATTGGTCTGCCAAGAAAGCCAAGTGGTAAGAATGCTACAAGGGTGAGTGACTAAGATGGTTCGTTTTTAAGTTTTATATGGTTGGAAATGCAAAACTCCTATTCGTTGGGATGATAGTGAAAAGAGATTAGCTGACTCGGAGTTTATTCAACAATTAGAAGAGAAAATCAAGTTGGCTTGAGAGCGTCTCAAAACAGCACAAAGTTGTGAGAAAAGTTACACAGATTTTAAAAGAGGCAAAGTGCAATTCAACATGGAGATCATGTGTTCCTGAAAATTTTTCCTATAAAAGGCGTTACGAAAGTTGGCATGCACGGCAAGTTAAATCCAAAATTCGTGGGACCATTATATATTTTACAGAAGAGTGGTGATGTTATTTATAAACTTGCTTTGCGACTAGCTCTATCAATGTACATAATTTGTTTCATGTATCTTTATTGTGGAAGTATGTGCCAAATCTTGAACATGTGTTACATTTTATACCTTCGAGGTTAAATGATAACTTAACTTATGAGGTGAAATCTATTCGTATTGTCGATAGAAAGGAGTGTTGTGACATCGAAGTACTCTCTATTTGAAGTCCAATGGCAAAACCACACTCAAAAAGACCAATTGGGAGCTCGAGGAAGAGGCAAGACACAAATTCCCTTATTTGTTTGAAAATTGAGGTAAGGCGTATAAAATATTTTTATTGCATTAACGAATTCTATTGGATACATTAAATGTTGATAAAAATTGTCTTGATCATTTTAGCAAATTCATTGGAATTTTTTTTTGTTTGCTTCAATGAGTCCAAACGTATAGCAATTTATCTGATATTTCTTAAAGAAACAACACCTGCGAAAAAAAAAATATGAAGACTTAGTTATCATTATGAAATGGAGCTAGGTTGATTAGATGTAAATCTAATATTAATTCATCTCATCTTTTTTAGTGAAGCAAAACCTAGGCTATATTATTCTTCTATGGATTCTGAAATTAATGGTATTATTTTTTTTGTTGATTTTCTATTCATTTTCATGATTTTAGGTTATTCATTTATTTGTCAGATCCACGCTAACCAAAATATTATTTACTGCAAGAATTTCTTCAAGACTTATCGAAATCAACTAGAGCGACAGGAATTATCTTTAATTGTTTATTTATCATATTTGATATATTTTGAAAAAAAATCATTTAAGCAGCCCCATTATTTTGCTTTACTTTTCAGTTGACATTTAGCTTCCAGACATAAATTTTTCAAAAATAATATCATTGGAGTTATCTATAGTACCTAGTCATATTTAATTAGTCATCGCAAACATATTTTTCCTTTTAGAAATAATACATGAAACTGTCATTTTTATAAGTGATACACGAAATAAGTAATATTCACTAATTTGTAAAAGCCAAGTCTAACTACTCCAATAATCCTCTAATATCATTTAAATTTCCAATATGGGCTATCAAACTATATAATATTCTTTTAATGGCCGTCCAACATCATTTCTAAGAAAGCATTTTTTGAATTGTATATTCTAAATGGAGCTACCGTGACTTTCCCCCATGTGAGTCGCGGAGAGACACGCCCAAGTCTTTTAGCTCTCCTTCTCGGAAGATAGCTGAAAGACTTCGGGAAGGTAGCCGAAAGACTTTGGGAGAGTCTCTGTGTATCCTGCATTCACCTACCACCTTCGCGGAAGGAGAGCTAAAAGACTTGGGTGTGTCTCTCCGCGACTCACATGGCGGAAAGTCATGCAAACAAGCAGGTTTCACATTAGCGGATAGATAGGGATCGGACAAGAACCGGCTCGTGACAGGTTTCTAGAATGGCGAAGGGACAGGAATGAACCGAATTGCACACTAAACAGGGGATAATGTGCTTGTGATGTGTGTGTGTGTGTGTGAAAATTGAAATTAACTCACAAAAGCACCTTTTGACGTAGCGGCAAGCTTTGCTTTCGAACTCCAAAGTTAAACATGCTTAGGCTAGAGTATCACCATAATGGGTAATCTCCTGGGAAAGTGCCTGTCCATACGCCAAATGACAAAACCGTGAGATTCGATATGAACCGGTCAAAGTGGACAATATCTCGAATGAATTAATATAGGGATGACATAATATGGTATTATAGCGAGACCCCCTCCAATAGGTGTATGGTTCGTGGACGAACCACGTGGAAGCTGATTGGCCTGTAACGATCTGATCGGACAAAGGCGGGGAGTGGCTGTCGGGACCAGAGGATTCAGACAAAGAGTGGCTCCCGCCAGGGTTTTGTACGCTAAAGTAAAAAACCGCAAGATTCGATATGAGACCGGCTAAAGTAGACAATACCTCGAGTGAGTCAATCTAGAGATATCACATATTCATTTATCTAAAGCGATATAAACAATCATTTCCGAGGAAGTTTTTCATGAAGTGCAGAATTCGCAATGCACCCGAGATTCATACAATGCGAAAATTACCGTATTTTCCGAAAACGTTGGTTCATGCGATGCGATACGACAATGAAGCAGAATAGCTACAGGGAACTGGCAATACTCTCCAATATCTTTTACAAACTGTGTTTGTCAGCACAATGCACGAGGCATCAACTGGGTTTTGACATGAAAGCTATTTTTCTTTTGGGGGAAAGCCTCCAATGTGGCCCCAAGACTTGGGAGAAAATATTGCGTGAGTGGAATACACCACGTCAGCAATACATAACACCATTGAGCGGAAGACACGTGGCAAGAAGGGCCCACAGATCAGATTTACTAAAGAATCAGCCGCTTTCCCTTCTCTCTCCCATTCTCCGTTAACTCTCCTCCGTTAGTGCTCAAATATTCACTTTTCACCTCCTGGTTTCTCTCTCCTTTACTCCTCCCGCTCAAAATTCCTCCCGCTCGCGACTTCCTCTTTCTTCCTCCCCGACTTCCTCTTCCTTCCTCCCCGACTTCGCATCCTTTGGTCGTGAACCCGCCGCGCCTACACCGGTTGCCTCCGCCGTCCCCTTCTAGAAAACCCATTTGCTCTCTCTCTCTTTCCTCCGCGAAGCGCGGCTCTTTTTGTGGACCGCGCCTCTGCCTCCGCCGGTTTCCTCCGTCGTCGCCTCCCGGAGCCCATCGGTGGCTCAGATCCTGACCACGCGGCCGCCTCCGCCTACGCCGTCGCCGTCTCCTCCGAAGCCCTCCATTGGCGATTCGTCCTCTGCCACTCTCTCTATCCCGAGAAATGGCTCCGCTCTGCTCTCTGTGACGAACCGCGCCTCTGCCGTCGCCTCCCGCAGCCCCTTTGGAGATCTCGGGCTCCGACTCGCCCTCTGCGTTACCTCCCGAAGCCCCATTCTCAGGTTAGGGTTTTGTATGACTTGAAATTCCCATCGTTTTTGCCCTAACGTGAAGATTGGTGGCTCAGATCTCGACCACGCGGCCGCCTCCGCCTACGCCGTCGCCTCCGAAGCCCCCCATTGGCGATTCGTCCTCTGCCCCTCTCTCTTTGTCCCGAGAAACGGCTTTGTTCGGCTCTCTATAACGAACCGCGCCACCAACAGGTTCCCTATTATTATGTTTTTTTGGCGTTCGGGCAGATTGTCGGATTGGTCGTGCTTAATTTGTCAAATAGTCAGCTTGAGGTTCGTTTGGTGAATGGGTGATAATGCTTGTGCTTGTTATGACTGTGTGGTAAATGAAAGATGTGGCCTGTGCTCATTCTTACGCTCTCTATTGATTTTGGTTGAAAGAACATCAGGCATTTTTCTTGAGTGCAATCTGTGGATAATGCCACAGACAACCATTTTTGTTCTTGTGCGGGAGAGAATAGATGCAAGCATCATAGGTTGTCTCTTCATTGGATTTCATCTGCAAAAATATAAAAGGGATCTTTTCAGTTGCATTGCTTTGAGATTATTGAGCTCTATTAGTTAAGTGCATCAATTAGTCTATTTTCTGCAAACTGATTATGTTCACGTCCGACATTTTTGTTAATTGTAGTCAATTCAAGTGTGGATCTAATTATGTTTAAATAACTGGCTTTTTTTATATTTTTTTATCTTGAGTTCCCCCTTGCAGTTTGGTTTCGTGATCAATGAGCGGCCGAGGATCAATAAGAACAAGCACAAGGTCATGTAAATTTATCTGTACTTTTTGTAACACTGAAAATCAGGGCCCTCCATGTTGTTTGCGCTTCAAGAATTATTGTCCTCCATCTGTAAACTGTCAAGGAAACTAGATCGGATAAAGCACTATCTAGTTAGAGCCACTATGCCTCTAACAGCTTATGTTCCTTTATCTTGCATCCACGGAAGTTGAAGTAGGCAATGATCCATTTGGATTTCTATTACTTGATGAGGAGGACATCGAGAAAGCCAAAACAGAGATTGCGTACATGGATGCTTTTATCTACTATCTGATATCTGAGTTAAGATGGAGGAACATCATCATGGAAAATCCATAGGAGGAAAAAATGGAACTCATGTGCTATTGGCCTTACCTTGCTCAAGGCAATTTAGGAGCTCTTTTAAGTTAAATTCTAGTTGATTCAAATATAAATGGCAATGGTCCTGGAAGATCAACTTAAGTAGATGATGATTTAGCTAGACATTTTAGTAACGCATTTCTTCAACTTTTTCAGATATTTGTTGAGGTAGCTGGTACTTACAGGGTGATTATGCCTTTTGCAATTAACAAGCAAAAATGAGAATCTTTGAGTTTTCACTCAATTTGATAAGACAAGTGTATCCATTGAATCAATGTAAATGTGGATAGGATACACTTGAACTATGCCTTTCGTTTTTCTTATATATGTAAATTTGGGTGTATAGCTTACATCACAAATTTCCTACATGTAAGTTTGCCCATCTACTTCCTTTGATTTTACTTTCATTGTCCCTGAAATGTTTCATACATGATAATCCAGGATCTCCTGCATGCATTGAAATATTGCTTGAAGTCTGATGATGCGATTCACTATGCACAATATGTGAGTACTTTTATCGTTTCTTTAATTAGCATTAAGATATCACCGGAAGTTTGTGGACAATAGCACAAACTCCAACATTTAGTACCACTAATATTTGCACTAAAAACTTAATAATTCCTTCGTGTGATATCTCTGTAACACTAGGTTTTGAGGTGGGAAGAAATGCTTGCTGTTGAACGTGCTCATTTGTCGCGGGAGAAACAGGCAATTTTTTAACTCTTCCTTTTATTGCCAAAGTTCAATATCCTGATCATTTCTCTTGTGAGAAATCCATAATATAGGATGTATTTGCAAGCAATGTACTGCAACCTATTTGGGCTACTATGTTTATTTGTTGGGCTTATTTGCAAACAATAGACAGTCTTGAGTGGATGTACCGATGTACCAGTAGAGTCGCATCTTAGTGAAACTCAAAGCTTAGAAATAGTAGCTAGAATGAATTTGTTAGATGTTAACTTGTAAATTATGTTGTCTGGGTGGCTGGCTTTACTGCTTTGTCTAATTGAAAATCATTGGATATCTAATCTAATGAATCAATAGTTGATTGTTTTTATTGGTTGTGGAGCACTTCTGCCGTGGTTAGTGTGGTTAAAGCCAATATGCAACGTGATATGTTAATGTTAGGGATTTTGGAATGACAACGGTGACTATAAAAGTAGAGCTGATCCTGAAAATTATGTATAGAATGTAGACATTCTATGGTACACATGGTGATCAATTTGCCAAATTTATTGGTTTTTTAATAGCTTGTCCGGATACTTCATTTAGACACAATGGATTAATGCATAAGATATGAACTTTCCTTGAATCTTTTTTTTCTAGACATAAAACTATCTAAGAAAAAGTAGGTGTGGCTCCAATGAGGGAAAGACATAAGTCCATGATACCCCATTGAGATGATTTTTCCTGTTTGGCAGTAAGTAAGAGATTAAACCCCAATATCGTTAATTTCGATTTTCCGTTCGTTATTGATGACGATGTGGAGTTTAGTAATTACATTGGGTCCCTAAATAAATCCCATGCTTGTATATTTTGCTGATTGTGTTTGATTGTGCTCTAAAAATGTTTGTGTGAGTGATTATGTTCTAAAAATGTTTGTTTTTTATTTCATTAGGAGGGAACTTCATAGTCTCTCATCACCTCAGTTATTTTGCACTTGTAAAGATATCAAATGGCTGACTTAGAGGTAATTCTTTACTCATAAAACATAATTTGCTTTCTTAAGTAAAGGATGAGATGCTATTTTTCTTGAATTATTTTTTGTTCATTTGATTGCAGCATGAAACTTCCCATCTTGCACATGTGATGCGTGATATGGACAAAGATTTTGAGTTTGTAGTAGGGATGGTTTTCTCAAATGAACTTGAAGCATATCATAAGTATGTGGCTTATGCAATCAGCAAAGGATTTGGAGTGAGAAAAGGTAATGCGGTTAAAAATAGAAAGGGTGAAATAACCCGGCGAACTTTTTTGTGTAATTGTGAGGGGCATTCGGTTGGGTCATCTGATCAAGAAAAGAAATATGAGAGATTTGAAGTTAGATGTGGGTGTCTTGCTCATATCAAATTTAAGGTTGATAAGGGTGTCTATGAAGTCATGGACTATGTTTCTGAGCATAATCATGCATTTGTACGGGAAGATCAAAAGCATTTGATTAGATGTGGAAGAATGATATCTGACACGTGCAAGGGTGTTTTGGTTGATATGATTAAAGCAGGCATTGGGGGGACTTCGGCATATAAATTTTTAGCAAACGAAGCTGGAGGAAGCAAAAACTTAGGTTTCATCCTGCGTGATTGTCAAAATTTTTTGCAAACGGAAAAATCCAAGGTTATAAGTGGCGGAGATTGTCAAAGTCTTTTGAACCATTTTCATTGCATGCAAATGCAAAACCCAATGTTTTTCTATGCTGTTCAAGTAGATCAAGATGGTAGATTGACCAATTTATTTTGGAGAGATAGCTTGTCCAAATTTGATTATGACTGTTTTGGTGATGTGCTAGTGTTTGATACCACATACCGTACCAACAAATATAACATGATATGTGCACCTTTTGTTGGGGTTAATCACCATTGGAAGAATACTCTGTTTGGTTGTGCATTTTTGCTGGACGAGACTGCAGAATCATTTATTTGGTTATTTGATGTGTTTTTGAAGTCTATGGGAAATAAGGCTCCGAAAACCATATTCACTGATCAAGACCAAGCCATGGCAAAAGCCATTAGAATGGTGTTTCCAAATACACAGCATCGTTTATGCACTTGGCACATCGGGAAAAATGCCAATCAAAACATTCCACATCTTTACCATAAGCCAGGTTTTAAGGATAAATATTTCTTAGTGCTTATGTATAGATGCAAATCAGAGGACGAATTTGAAGCTACATGGAGGGAAATGGAAGAGGTGTGGGGTACTAAAAATAACAATTGGCTTCGGAGATTATATGACCTTAGACATAAATGGAGTTCAGCTTTTGGTCGTGACTCTTTTACATGTGGTATAAGGTCAAGTCAAAGGAGTGAGAGCACCAATAATGTCTTCCAACATATGTCGACGAAGACATTGTCTCTTGTAGAATTTGTCCACCATTATGAAGAACAATTGAAACATATGAGAGAAGTTGAAAGTCAAGATGATTATAGTTCTCGTGGGACAGCCAAATCGCAGGTTAAAAATAATGGGATCTTGTCACATGCTGCTTCGGTATATACCCGTACCATTTTTCTAAAGTTTAATGAAGAATTTGTGCAAAGTCTCTCTGAACATATTTCAAGTACTACATCTGATGGATCGGTTTCTTTATATACTCTCAAGTGTATGGGGATTGGGATTCAAGGTGAATATGTTGTTAGATTTGACCCTGCAGACTTATCAGTTTCTTGTGAATGCAAATTATTTGAATCAAAAGGGTGGTTGTGTCGCCATGCCTTACGCGTGTTGAATGTGAACATGTCGATGGTTACGGTAATTCCTTCTTCCTATATTTTGAAAAGATGGACTAAGGATGCCAAAGAAGGGATTGTCAATGATGAATCCCATCAAATGTCACCGGGTCCATCTAAATTTAATCGATTTTCCACGTTAATGCATGAATCCATTGAACTGATGAGTTTGGGAGCTGAAGATGTACATACTATGAGAATATTGAGGAAGCACATGGTTAAAGCAAAGGCTGAAATTTCATCATACAAATCAAGTATGGTTGTGACTGATGATGCTGGTGATGATGAGTATAATGAGGCTTCTTTGTGCGATATTTCGGTAGCGGACCCCATTCGAAGGAAACGAAAGGGACTAAGTTACGGAAGGCTTAAAAGCTCCAGTGAGAAAAAGAAGAAAACATCTAAGAAAGGAACTCCCCCAACGCAAATAGAAAGTCAAGGTGAGTGACATATTATTCTAGTTATTATAATTAGTTAAATTTTTCGCTTATGTTACATGATACCAATTAATGTATCTATTACTTTGTAATGTAGAGTTGGTTGTCCAAGCGACGCATAATGAAACTCAGTTCCTAGATTATTCGAGTAATTCAAATCAGTTTCGAAGTGCCGTTTATCCTAGCAACATTGGTGGTCCTACTGTAAATCTAAATTTTCATAATCAGGTATATTGCTCTTTGTCCTCAATTTGTATTTATGTTTTACTAATTGGTCATTTTTTTATATGGATGCAGCAGCCACCATTCATCATGCCGTCCGGGATTATGAGTGGATTTTGCCCAGTCCCTAGTCGGGTATTTAATAGTTTGGTGATCAATTAGTTTGTTTGTATGTTCTTCAAGTTATGGTGCCTCTTTATGCTAATGAGGTAATTTATCTAATGTAGATGCAATCACCATACATCATGCCACCGAGGAGTGGATTTTCCCCATTCACTAGTCAGGTGCTTATTATGAAATCATTTTAGATTCTACTGTTATTTGAACTTTTTATTACTATTGTAATATTTGTTGTTAATGGTTTTTTCTGGATAGATGTTGGAGTACCATAATCAATCCCACGGAACCATTTTGAGCCAGGTACAACTTGCCTTTTGTTGATGTGGGATTACTTGAAACATATTGATCTAGGCATATTGTTTAGTAAAATGTAAATATATTTGTTATTCTCTTATACAGGGGTCATCAAACTCTTGTCAGCATCCTAGGATGAATGAATCCGAAGCCCCCTTTGAAAGCATAGACAATGCACGGTCGCAACACAAATAGTCGGGAGGAACCCTCGTAATAAGTCTCTTCACCAAATAAAATATTTTTTGCGTCCTTCTCTGATAAGGTAACTATTGTAGTATGAGTTCACTGTGACTTGGGATTTGCATCTGTGCCTTTTATATGAAAAGATTTTCCTTTGTATTTCCTTGGTTGTTACTTGGAAGAAATGTTTTTATATTTCCAATTTTGTTAGTTGGGCTATAAATCCAGTAGGAACCAAGTTCGATATTCATTTGACGTGATGTAGTGATTAACTAGGGCATAGTTTCAATAGACATTAGAAAAGGATTGTTAGAGTAGTAAAGATTTAGTTCTATGTAAGTTATGATCTTATCAAACTTGCTTAGAGCTTCACCCATATGCAGAGATTCATTCTTCTTCAGAGTATTCACTATGTTCTCTCATTTTCTGCAGTTATGGGTATTCCAAAGAAAGATTTGTTTGGGCTCTGATATCTGTTGTTGGCATTTTTTTGTCTTGGGTCTGGTGCTACAATTGTTAATGGAATTCGAAGCTTGTGGATTGCACACGTAATCTTCTTTTTTTGTCTTATCCTTTACCGTTCTTCTAAAGTTTTAGCCAGTTCATAAAATGGGCAAAGTTGTTCTTGATATATAAGGTCATTGTCTTCTTTAGCATTCGGAAAATATCCAATATGCAGCTTCAGTGATCGGAGGCTCATTCATGATCGAAGGTATTTCGACTTACCATTTGTTTTGGGCTGCTACTTATAATGAAATCATTGGTATTTTGACTTACCATTTAGTAATCGGAGGCTCATTCACCTATAATATTTGTTCAGTGATGTGCAGATCAAGAGTGATTTGAACCTGTCAACTGGTGTGAAGTGTTAGTGTGAAGTTTCAAGAATGATCTGAAGGAACAAGTTTGTATGGCGTCGTCTCACAATTTAGTATTTGGGTCCAGAATGCATGAACCCATGCATTTATTGAAGATGATTGGTTTTGATTCAAGCTAGCAAAATTACAAGCTCTACTATACTTGACTGAAAATGTATTTATGTATCATAGGTGGATTCTAAATTGATTCCCTTGTCTAAATTGAACAGGGGACCTAGTGAGAAGCCAGAAGAAGCACCACTACAGACTGCAACGGTGAGTTAGTATATGCAACAAAATGGGCAGATTTCTCTTTATCCATAGTTGGATTTATCTTATAGAATTTTATTGGGCTTTCAGGGTACCGAACAAGGCAAAGGAGTGAGAACCATGATGAAGAACACTGAAGAGTACACAAATTTTGGTGTTCCTTGTGTCTTTAGTAACTATGTTAGATTATTTTTGCCTACTTGTTTCTGTTTGTTTTGGAACTTACTGTTTCATTCGGTAGAAAGACGGAGTCTGATGATTTTCAAAGTTTTATTTAGATCCTTGTCTTTCCAATTATTACCGTGGATTTCATTCTTTTAGTGTTGCACTTGGGTGTGACTGTTTTTCTCTGATACATCCGTACTCACTTCGTTGGATCCATCTATGTGCATTATCAATTTGTATGAATGAAGATTCTCTTCTGAAAAAGAGAGTGGCAGCATTGGAAGCTGGTACACCCATATGTCGTAGAAGGGTGCATTACCTATAGCAGTTACATTTGTCGTGACCAGAGTTGAAAATGATCATAATTCGTGGTGTTCTATGACCATGTAGGGGTTTATCTTGCGTCAGAATAAGCAAAGCTGATATTGTTCGGCATACTTCAGATAAAAAGCGTTATGTTGCTTAAAACAGGCAAGCACCGTGTGTTGATCTTGTCTATCAAGAAAATTGACTCGAAAAACGATTATGTTTTGAATTAAGGTCTGCTTCTGGAGTGGAAGATGGGAATTTCTTCATTGGGACTTAACAAAATGACTAGCTGGATGAAAAATTTAGCATCCTGTTCAGGATAAGGTCTGTTTCCACAAGTTAGAGCATCATTTTCAGTAAATGAATTCCACATTTGAGGTCTGAATATTAGTTTCTTCTTTTTGTATATCTCTGCAATCTTAATTTCAATGTTCCTTGCACGGATTTGGAGCTTTTAGCAGTTCTTTCGTGCAATATTGCAAGTTTTTTTTGTGTCAATATGCCTTTCACATCTCCACATAAGTACATGGATATACATAAATTAAAGGAGGAAGAAAAGAAATGGGCACAAGACTAGCCAAACTGTCTGCAACGCGGAGCTTGAGCGCAAAATTTGGTTGCGCCATAACTTTCTCCACTAAACTCCATTCCAAGCGAGCTTATAGTTAAAAGAAAGCTCATTCAGAGCACTACAAGAACCCTAACTTGGCCGTCCCAAAATCGAGCCGAAAGCCGATGAAAATTGGCCTAAAAGCCGCTGGTCGCGCACTGTTCACTACGCGCGCTCAACTTCAAAAATTCATATCCGGCAAACCGTAAGTCCTAATCGGTTCCGTAAAATCTCAGTCCCGCAACATCCTAAACTACCAATTCTATATATATATACGCAGCTCAACGACTCAAAAATCGGATTTCACCGCTCGAATAACACATAAATGGGCACAAAGACTAGCCAAACTGTCCACAACGCGGAGCGTGAGCACGAAACTTGATTGCGCCATAACTTTCTCCACTAAACTCCGTTCCAATCAAGCTTATAGTTAAAAGAAAGCTCATTCGGAGCACTACAATAACCCTAATTTGGCCGTCCCAAAATCAAGCCGAAAGCCGACAAAAATCGGCCTAAAAGCCGCTGGTCGCGCACTGTTCACTGCAAGCGCTCAACTTCAAAAATTCATATCCGGCAAACCGTAAATCCTAATCGGGTTCCGTAAAATCCCACGGTCCCGCAACACCCTAAACTACCAATTCTACATATATACGCAGCTCAACGACTCAAAAATCGAACTTCGCCGCTCAAATAACATATAATTCCGAAATATGAGCCCTAACTCGGAAAAATATTCCAATTGAACAAACGCGGGGTGTGAATACTTACCGGACATTGCTAATCAAAGTCAAATCGGCTTGGCGAGACCCCCGCGGCACAAAACCCTCTTCTCTTTTTCTTCTTTCTCTTTCCTTTCCTCTCTTTTGTTCTCTTTTCTTTTGTTTCTCGACAACTCTCGGCCCCTTTAAAAATTAGAAGATGTCCACTGTAGTTTTTGTTGACTTGTTGGCTTGTTGAGACTTTTTTTCCAAATATTACAAGTTCTCTCGCTAAATCCTGAGTTTTGTTTTCCATTCTCTCCCAATCTTACTAACAAGTGAAGAGAGTTGTGAAATAACATAAAATGGCATCCATCTTGCAGACAATTACACTACTTAAAGAGCAATAAGTATATCTAATCTCCATGTTGCGACAATTCCATCCAATATTAACAAATTACATAATGACTTATGAAAAAGAGAATCTAGTTGGCCATTCTACTGTAATGCAGAAACAACCAAGCCAAATGAAAACAACAAAGTCAATCAGTTCACTCATATTGACAAGCTCACCACAAGGGACCTCACCCTAACCAGAGGGCAGAAACAGAGGACGTGCTATGTAGTTTATGGGAATTGCTAAAATAGAGGGCAGAGTGGATCGAGTAGGATCTTTCGCTTGAACAAATCAGACTATCTTTCCAAAAATAGTCATAACCAGACAATCTTTGCTGAAACAGTCAACCAAGAATTTGATTGAAGAACATGAAATCCCAAGTTATCATAATAAAGAAGCCGTAACTAGACTATCTTTCCCACGATCATTGCATAATGGAATAGTCAACATCTCATTCACTGAATCCATCAGCAACAAAAGAACAAAAACAACCACATCACTTCCCTGAACCCATCATCAACAAAAAAATACAGCCACATCACTTCCCTAAACCCAACCCTCACAAATGGCTATCATTCTTATAGGTCAGAGTTGCGTCCTTTCAATATTTTTTTTCTTTCTTGATGGCCTTGCTACTTTAACTGGAACTTCAACTTCAGCTTCTTGTGATGTTGATTCAACATGTGCTTGTGTATCAATTCTTTGTCTCTTGTCCTCTCTAGCACTTTTACTCTTAACCTAATATTATAAGATTTCATTAATTTAAAAATCGTTGTTAGTAAAAAAGTAAATCTAACAAAATGGAAGTACTTACCGGAAGTTTTTGCCTAGACAATGGTGTTTGTGATGCCGCTAACCCAGCCTTCTTAGTGGGGCATGTTAAACTATTGTGTCCCGTCTTCTTGCAACTTCGACATGTCATCTTCATTCCTACCCTCGACATCCTAATACCACTTGCGACCTCACCTTCCTCTCTTATTCTTTTATGTTTGCGTCTACCAGGCTTCGCCCTCGCTGGAAGTGATTCAGGGGCCTCCTTATTAGTCTTTTTCCAAAATTTCTCTCCTCGTATGGGTTGAATCATGTTCTGATATGCAGCTACGAACTTGGTCTTCTTATAACACTCATCCACTTAGTCATATGCATCCTCTTGCCTATGATTTAGAGCAGAAATGGCATGAGGACATGGGAAGATGAATAGTATCACCATACTAATACGCATACATTTATATGATAAGCAATAAACTTATCTATCACATAAGCTAGGAAGTTCTATCAACCAACATATCAATGAATATAGTGTGACATTGCGATAAGTGATACCTACATCTCAACCCAATATGAAATAGCACTTTATTCTACATCCTCTCTCAATTAGTTGTTTGAATAGACATCTCAGTTCATAAAAATAAAAATCATGCTTTCAAAGTCAAATGACAGGAAAAAAACATTTAGAATGCGTCATTTGCTTCTTCTTCATTAGAAGACGGTAAGGAAATTGTTGCTTAGGAGATTGAAGATCCATTAGGAGACTGTGAATGATTATTACCTGGGTTGGAAGGAAAAGACCAGTTGCCATTTAGTTTGGTTAAATGCAGATACATGTATGACGCGATCACTCCATTCTAAGTCCTTCCACTCATCAACAACACCATCATAGTGGAAAAGCATCACCACAAAATCATTTGACAGAAACTGCAAAGTGAAAATTGACACAGTTAGCCTGGAAAAAAGCTCGAGAAAAATAGGCTAAGCAACAGCCAGAAAAGTCTCCTCACCTTTGTAACCATTTTATTCACAAGATCCTTTTGCTTGATTCCAACAGCCACGGCAAACAAGTTAGACGAAGAACTAAGAGAGCCCTGTCCAAAGATCAAGCAAGTTAATGCATGTTCAGAACTATGATGTTATATCTTCTACATTGAAAAAACTATTGTCATTTCAGGCTGTTTTTTTACCTCTGCAGAATCCCATAACGGCCTCATTTCCAAATCAGAAGAATTGGCAACAATACCTTCTGGTAAGGCCTCACTTCCACGTGGTCCGCATCGATTCTGAAATGAAAACACAAATAAGCTATTAAGCAACAAGTGAGACATCTGGCATGGCACAATTAAATTGAAAGTGATGAAGTTCAAAACTGCCATTCTCTAATAACAAGCACTGGATGGAAGGATGACATACCGCACAAGTGCTGGTGTTAGAGCTCTGTCATATATCAATTATCCTCCAATCCCATCCTGAGAATTTCTGCAAAACATTTTCAATTTCATTCGCAACATCCAGCATATAAACTGCCGGGACCGAGTAACAGTGAAAAAACATGATGATCTGTAGAACTAAGAAGAGTAGGTATCCACCTCTCTGTAATCTGATGCCAACAGCGCACTCCCGATGAAGAGTCCTAGACAAAACAAAGATGCTGCAGGAAAGAAGTTACAGAATTGTATCTCTGTTCTTGTCATTCTATGCTTCCAGCAAGCATTTATCTAACCCTGAAAGCCATAATTGGACTGCAGTCCCATTGCTGTAATACATTTTACATATTCCTGCAAGTGATAGGATCTAGTCCTTAGTCAAGTTATCAATCTTATACTAAAATTATAAAATTAAACTAGTCAAAAACCAATTATTGACTTCAACACAAAATGGCAATTTTCAGTGAAGTAATCTCTTATAAAGTTCATCCAGTTTCAATGAACTCTAAGCAAAGGTGTATAGTCATAAGTGAAAAACTATTGCACCATGGTTATTCAGAGGTAGGTCCATTTAATCGTGAACACCAAAGTAAAATGCATCTCTGGAAATCCTAAGGATAGGAAAACTCGATGATAGTTTGACACTTGTTTATATGGCATTGTTGTGCATTTAAACCTAAACAACACTCGTAGACATAAACACTTACTAAACCTTAAAAAACCCTTAGGAAGTCTCTAAATAACACAAGAGTTACTAAGGCCATGTAGAGTTTGCTCCATTATGTTAATGCTAGACCAAAGAAACTTGAGATTTTTCAAGATTTCTTACTTGGTGGAGTACTGCCCTCCGGGTGCTAGATCCAACATATTCCTCAAGATATTCCTGCACATAATACATTACGCTTCCATAAGAGAAAGAAAAATAGACCAACGGCTTTACCCTATGGATTGCTCTCTCTCTCTCTCTCTCTCTCTCTCTCTCTCTCTCTCTCTCTCTCTCTCTCTCTCACACACACACACACACACTCACACAGATTATCTGAAACCTCTGTCCGTGGAAGCCTAACACATCGACGCACTTCCATGTCCCAAAAGAAAGACTCCAATCATAAGAACACAAATGAATTTACTTGGAGTCCTTTATTCATACAATCACAGAACAACTAATTGTTCTCCCGAAATCCTTATTTCTTTTGGGATGGAGAAAGATTAAGTATTTTTCCTTTGACAGAGATGAAAGGAGGATGCAGTGGATTTTACAATGATGGTTTAAGTACATAAGTACTGCCTACTTTTGAGTAGTGGGTATCCAAATCAACAGCAGCCCTTTGTTCTAGAGTCTTAGCCCTAAAAACGCGGACTGCAATTGAGATGGTTCGCCGGTCAATCTACGCAAATCAAAAGATCATCGTTAGACCACTCAAATAGTGGATCAAGTGTAATATCAGGACTGGATTCAATTTTTTTTGGTTTTAATTGACAATGTAATTGCATCATCAAAACTAATTTAATTCACATGGTAAATAGCACAAGTAGCTACTTAAAACAAGTATGGGAATTTCTTTGGGAAAGTAAAAATGAAACCAATTTCCTTGAGGAAAGTCAAAACAGCTTCCACTCCCCCAATAACAATGTTCCATCATATGGTGAGGTCAAGATACAGAATATGAATGGATTCAAGTAAACAATAAGCAGTTTCACCATTAAAAGGCAAACTGTGAGAGGACCCTTTTTTGCCTAGATGAAAACACGGAATCATCTCAGGAAGACTGCAACTGCGATGCAGAAAGGCTCTCGCTAGATATTGATCTTTCTTAGAATCTCTATTTCAATAAATCATTGTTCCTACACAATATCCAAGGTTAAGTCCTATGTCTCTGCATTGCTTCTCATTTTCACAAGGAAAAGGACTCCTGTAGCTAATCAACGAGAGATCTTTTGAAAAATAACCATCTCTATGATTTTGTGCAGTAGCTATAGCTGGGTTATTCAAGTGATGCAATGAGATCTTTTGAAGATTTTTCCATCTGAATGATTTTGTATGGCAGCTGTGACTGGGACATTCGAGAGATGCAAACTGTGAAAGCAACTTCTACTACGCGCAACATTAATAAGGAACATTCTTGACATGGATTAAAATCGGCAAGTAACCAACCAGTAAAAGTTCATAACGGCTCCTTTCTAAGCAATATATTAGTAAAAAAAATCCATTTCCTCTTGTTGATGTGGTTAAAGCAAAGGATAGGAGCATGGAACAGGCTCAGCATGCAATAAATGAACAACCTGTCTGTAAAGTACTGAATAGCGAACACCCACACAAACAAATAGTTCTTTTAATGATAAAAGAAACCGGTAAGAACATTCTTTCCCCTTTTAGTTTGCATGGAGAAAAATGTCAATCTCTATTCAAAGGAAGGATCATCGCATACTAAAATGAATGCAATACCTTTGGGAAACATTTATAACCTCCACCAGTCACATGTTGGCAATCCTAAAGGTAAAACTCTGTTGGGCACCATGGCAGCCAACTTGCAAGCGATCATAGCTCCTGTTTTGACAGCCAAAGAGGGCAGTTAGTCACCCTGAAACAAAAAGGACCCCGATCTGGACACATAGGCAGACATGTCATGGATGTGATTTTTAGTTCATTATTAAGTTTAAAAAATGGCCAGATAAATCCAGGCATCCAGAAATTGCAATCAGAATGGTTGTTTTAATTTCTCATATGAAGAACAGAGCCAAATAAGCATCCATGAAATTTGGGTCATTCAAAACTCATTCATTGAATGGCCAATGACATGGGCTCTTTCCCATCCCAGGTGATCGAGTACAGTAATCGCATCTTTCGCCATAATCTTTGTCCTGCTCCATAAATCACATCGAAAGTCAAAGTCAATTTTTGTTAAAATGTTTTTGGAACAGCACCAAATTATCATCAAACTAAAAGACTAAGAAAGCCATCCAATGTGCACGATTAGTCCAAGGAAAGTTGAAGCTGCATTTAAGCTTTGCACCAACTGGCAACCATTCTCCTGTGAATACGATCCCGATTCAAGAAACTCCACAAAGCAGCACACACTCAAACGAACTAGAAAGCTCACGGTATGCGTCGATTGGACTCACATGTACTCCAACTTGTCGGCGGGCATGAAAATGGGAGCTGATTGTTTTGATAATCCTTTTTCCACTTTTATCAGGAAACCAATTCCAAGTCCTCTCCAAGGACTAGGGAACGTGCTTCAGGTATTTATCCATAATAACTTTCAGTCAGCTGAAAATGGCAGAATTAGTCACTTTTCAATGTCAATGAGATCAGTTCAAGCACTCTAGATTTTGCTGTTCCTATCTTAACCATTATGTTACTTCCATGACAAATTAGAGTACCAACTTAAGCTGATAAGTACTTACTTCCATGACACTATTATATATTGCAATCTCCAATTAAAAGAAGAATTTGGAAATACAATTACTCGGTTTCAGGAATTTTTTTTGCGATAAATGGTTTCTAAATTCAATCTGCTCTACCATCCAACAAATGTGAAAGACCATGTAAGTTGAGAAAAAAACTCACCTCATGCTCTGGAATATAAACAACGACTGGCTGCTTGCATAATTTTGAAATTACCTGTAATGAATTTATGATTGGAACTGGTCAGAAGCTCAAGAAGAAATAAAGTGAGTGCTGCTAGCAAATGAAACTATCAAAATGTAGAGAATAAGAGGACACCACCAGCTCCAATTAGTGCTTGAGAAACCTAGAAGAATTTACAAAAACAAAAGACTACTACATTTGTCCCTAGATGATCCATCATACTGCTCGATTTGAAACCATAGTCAACTCTTAATTCTACCCGAGAGATAAGGAAGAAAAGAAGCCAACCCCTATTATTTCTGTCTTTGCCAAGGGCTTAATTTAACCACGACTGATCTAGTCCCAGAAAATCAAGAGAACTTCCATAAATTTACACTAGCAAAGGGAAGTGCATCACCAACCTGTATGCTGTTTATTAGTTCTTGAGGATGTTCAACCCTCAAACCTACCTGCAAGACACAATAGGAGGAAAAATGACAGTTAATAGTTTCATTTATATCACCAGTATCCATACATTTGGAATGATCTTACTATGCATACAGATCAAGTTGCCAAACAAGGCATTTCCAAAGATGCCAAACATTTTAGTGACAGGACTATATATTTGAGAGGATCAAGGGTCGCAAGTTGAAACAAGGTTGAAGTAGCGATCAAGATCACAATGCAAGAATATAACATTTCATAATTGTGGCTATAAAGAAGATGAGAAGATAATATTAGCACAACAGATGAGAAATTCATTGCCAAATTGCTTCTTTTGCACTGTCACGCAATCAATCAACTTCTCCTGTGAATACGCTCCCGATTCAAGAAACTCCACGAAGCAGCACACACTCAAACGAACTAGAAAGCTCACGGTATGCGTCGATCGGACTCACGTGTACTCCGACTTGTCGACGGGCATGGAGCTTCAGCCCACGCCGCGATTGTCGAACACGCACACCTCGACCCCACCATCACCACCACTAGCGCCAGCTTTGAGAGCTGAGCGGAGCCATTTCTCGGGACAGAGAGAGAGGGGCAGAGGACGAATCGCCAATGGGGGGCTTCGGAGGCGACGGCGTAGGCGGAGGCGGCCGCGTGGTCGGATCTGAGCCACCGATCTTCACGTTAGGGCAAAAACGATGAGAATAAGTTCAAGTCATATCAAATCTTAACCTGAGAATGGGGCTTCAGAGGCAACGTAGAGGGAGATCCGGAGCCCGAGATCGCCAAAGGGGCTTCGGGAGGCGACGGCGGAGGCGCGGTTCGTTACAGACAGCCGAGCGGTGCCCTTTCACGAGACAAAGAGAGAGGGGCAGAGGACGAATCGCCAATGGGAGCTTCGGAGGCGACGACGTAGGCGGAGGCGGCCGCGTGGTCGGGATCTGAGCCACCGACGGGCTCCGAGAGGCGACGGCGAAGGCAAGCGGTGGAGGCGGAGGCGCGGCTCACAAAAAGAGCCGTGCTTCGCGGAGGAAAGAGAGAGAGTAGATGGGTTTTCTGGAAGGGGACGGCTGAGGCAACCCGCGTAGGCGCGGCGGGTTCACGAGCAAAGGAGGCGAAGTCGCGGAGGAAGAAAGAGGAGGTCGGGAGCAGGAGAAATTTTGAGCGGGAGGAGTGAGGGAGAGAGAAACCAGATGAAAAGTGAATTTTTGAGCAGTCGCGGCGAGGCTAACGGAGGGTTAACGGAGAATGGGAGAGAGAAGGGAAAGCGGCTGATTCTTTAGTAAATCTGATCTGTGGGCCCTTCTTGCCACGTGTCTTCCGCTCAATGGTGTTATGTATTGCTGACGTGGTGTATTCCACTCACGCAATATCAAGACTTGTGGCTTTTTTTCCAAGAAATACTCTTTGATGGTAATTCTATTGTTTGTCTGCCTCGGAAAATTATGCAATGTGATGACGTGCCAATGTAAGTAGAAAAGGTGAATAGGGCAAAAAATTTTAAATCACCTAAAACCATCTTTCCAGGAAGGGGGTGCCCCTAGGACCCCATGCCTCAGAGACTTTTGCTCAGGCATTGTCTTAAAACTCTACTTCTATTCACCTCGCCATTTATCTCGACTGAAGCTCTCTCTCTCTCGCAGCCATTTCCTTTTACTTCCTTTTTCTCATTCCTTCTGCCTGTATTGTCTCTCGATTCCATTCTCGAACTAACTCTTGCTACGGCATTTCATTCGGCGGGTCATCAACAAGTTTTTATCAGGTGAGGCTGCTTTAGATTAGTGAAAATCTGGAGCTCTCTTTCGTTTCCGAAATTTTCCTGCAATCTCCTTGTAACCTCGTACCGATGGATTGTCATTTGATTTGGTAAACAAAATTTAGTACGTTCTTCTTAATACGTATAGCATTTCTCGCTCACTCTAGTCTCGTTCTCTACATGCTTTGTTTTGTTGGTGTCCTCCTGTATTAATGTCCTTGACACATTCGAACTATCTCAAATTGGCCTTTTTTAATCGAGCCAGTAGCCAGTGAAACGATGTTTATTAAAGAAAAAAAACAACCTTATTTCAAATGGCTTCGCCGTCCCCAAACTCCGCCTAGAGCTTTTCCACTTTCCTTTCGATTTTCTTATATCAAAGAGTACCTTGTTTTCAGTCTATAGGATAATTTTGAGAACAATTATTCCTTGATTTCCTTCGAAAACTGATCTATGACGCCATCCCTCCCAAAAATCTCCTCCCGTGTTTGCGTTTCTTTCAGTTGGGCTCATACGAACAATCTGATGACTGTCATTTCCATCTTCGTGTTCAGTCTTCTTCTTCAAATCTCGAATAATCCGAACTTAAGCCGCACTATCAATCCCTTCGATTCTCATTCTTCTCCCTCTACCACTAGTTGCCGAGGGTCGTGCGAGGAGCTCGACGCTCGCCTCTAGTCTCCAGATCTAGCCCGGTGAGAGTCGCGCAGGCTCACCGACGCTCGCCCGGTCGCCGCCGGTTGCCTGGTCGACACTCGCTGTGAAGCTCGCCTCCGGTCCCCTGGTCGACGCTTGCTGCGAAGCTCGCCTATTATCTCCTCTGGTGGCCTATGATCGCCTGGTCGACGCTCACCCAAGGCTAGCCGATGCTTGCCGGGTCGCTGCTGGTGGCCTGGTTGACACTCGCTGCGAAGCTCGCTGATAGTTGCTTAGTTGATGATGGCGCGAGGCTCGCGGGATCTCCAGTAGTCCTGCCCCCTCTCATTTTTCCTTTCTTTGAGCAAATACGCGTCTGAGAAAATGACTTCGCATTTTCCCAAAGCTCTCCCACCGCACCCAAAGATCATTTCATGTGGAGTTAGCCACCAAGTTTCAATTTGCACCTTACCAGGATCGGGGTTTTTCTGGGTAGGTCAACAACGAAGGAAGAACATATCCTTGGGACGTTCCAACTCTTGCCGATTGCTTCTTTGCCTCAAATTATAGCAGCGCCAAAAGCGAATTAAGTTGTCGTTTTGATTCCTCGCAGCTTCTCCCATAGCAAATTTCACCAAGACAACCCACATCATGGCCGTATGCTTCTTTTCTTTCTCTAGAGTCCTTCCATTTTCATTCTCGTCGTGCACCTCCAATCGTAATTAACAATCAACACTCGGAAATACTGAAGTGCTCAATTATAGGATCTAAAGTTAAAACATAAATGCTGAAAGCTAAGAACTTTTGTACCTTATGACCCAAAAAAAAAAAAAAAAAGAACTTTTGTACCTGGAATACTAATCGACAACATCTTTCCCCTAATGCTCGCAGCAGTCTGACAATGGATGCCAACAAAATTGTGGTATTCATCAACAATGTACTCAGTCTTGTTCAAAAGGTCAGCGGCCTCAGCAGAGTCGGAGTCGAAGCGCAGATGGATGCTCTGGAAATGAATATGGAAATGGTGTCAGCCATGAAGGCTGACATAAGTTTCCAACTAGAGCAGGAAGAGAGGAGACCGGGAAAGAAAAGGAAGAGAGAAGTTGACTTGTGGATGCGAAGAGCAGGAACGCTGGAGGATCAAGTCCACAACTTAGGACGACAAGTTAGACAGAGGCATTTCTTTTCTTGTCTCATGTTGGCGGATCAGGTGCGTGGCCTTGCGACTGAAGTGGACAAATTGCACGAGAAGGGCAGATTTGATAACGGTCTCACGCTGGATGTGAAACCGGCCCGAGGCTATGAACTACGACCAGGGGAATTAGTGGGACAAGCTTCTCAAACAAAAAGGGATGAGATCTGCGGTTGCTTGATGAACGAAGAGATGCTCCGAGTGGGTGTTTGGGGACAGGCGGGAGTGGGCAAAACCTTTCTCACGAAGCATGTACATGATCAAATAGTGCGAGATTGTCCAAGGTTTGATGGTGCTTGTTTGGTCACTGTATCGCGAGAAGCCACTGTTGGTACGATACAAACTGACATTGCGAAGTATCTCAAACTAGATTTGACTGAGGTGAGCTGTGTTTACTGGGGAGCAAGACTGAAGGAGGCATTGCAGGGTAGGAAACTCCTCCTTATCTTGGATGATGTTCGGAAATATTACTCTTTGGAAGAAGTGGGTCTAGTCCTAGAAAGAAATGGATGCAAATTGATCGTGACGTCGCGATCGAGGGAGCTGTGCGAGCAAATGAATTGCCACAGGCTTGTCCATGTAGCAACTCTTGCCGAGGAGATACGTCAAGGGTTGGAAGAAGAAGTGTAAAAACTAGAATTAGAGGGGTTGGGGAAGTTGGAAGAGGGAAGGTGGGGGTCTGACGGCGTTGATGAATTTGACTGGGATGTTCGGGGGCAAGATCATCTGTGATTCCATCGAGCAACTCGGGATTTGCAATGTCCCCAAGTTAGAGAGGATTTTAGAAGCACCTCTCTTCATCATTTCCATTTAACATAACCCATGATAGAAGAAATTTTGAGTTCTTTTCATTTCTGTATCATTGCAACATTTTGACAAGCTTGATGTTTGAACGTGGACCTCAGGACTAAAGGGTTTCTTTCTTCTTTTTTGCCTTTGTTTTCTTTGTGGGGGCTTGGGGGGATTTGACTTGATGTCATTTTCATCGACTGAGCTTAGCTTGGAAGTTATGTATAAACCGATTAACTTTTCTCTCTGCCTACTCATGTTCAGATTCGAGTGCTTCCTGTTTATGATGCAACTCTTGGTGAAACTCCTCACATGTTAAACATGTTCGGGTGCACTTGAAATTAAACCCTCTTCATGTTTTTGCAAACATCCCTGTTGTCCGACTCCGGGAATAATGACTAAACACAATAATGAAATGACTCGCTTTCAACTCTCGTTCTCTCACACCCTCTGCTCGCCTTATCCAACTCCATCTCTTAGAGAACTGAAAGCAGATTTTTGAGCAAGATAATTACGACTTCTTCATAACTAGTAACGGCAACGGTGAAGAAGATATGCGCGCTCCTCCTCCATATGTCTACTTATGATACCACTTTTCGAGAACTTAAGCCCCAAGAAAAAGGGTTTTTTTGCACATGATCTACAAGAATGATCAACCGAAGAAAACAAGCCAAAAGTCGTCTGAATACCACTCAATCGCATCCATGTAATTAACAACAACAATGGAGTGATTTTTAGAGTCTCATTGGGATGCATTATTCTATAATCGGAGAACCAATCATTTTCCAATGTACAATCACTTCCTTAAAAGGAGCCAAAGGTTTGGATATGGTTTCACCGGAATTGATCCGGCGACGAAATATCTTTTATCAAAAGTTGTTTTTCGATTTTTAATTAGATGAGACAAGGCCATGTGGCAACTCCGAATAGGAAATATCATAGCTAAATAAGGAGATCAACAACTTCACCAAAGATAGAACTATACAAACACAAATCGTGCCCGAATTCAATCGATGACAAGGCTCGAAAAATATAGCCACTTTACAAGAACAAAGCGAAAACAAACGATGCCGGAATTTAATCAATGACAAAACTTGGAACGCGACATGCGTTGAAATAGAAGCTTTCGTTAACTACATTCGACAGTAGGTGGGCTTAAGCTGCTTAGATCGGATGGTGGGTCTTGCCCTGCACCTTCTCTCTCAAAATATATGATTGAATAGATAGGAAGATCTTGATTCCCCATCCCTCGTAGTCCCTCTTTTGTCAATTCGCCCCTAAGAAACGAAGTAACTCGATTTTTTCGTTGAGAATTCCTCATTCTCGGCGGTGAATTCAAAACTTATGGAGCCCTATCTATTCCATCTCTCGAGCCCCAAAGAAAATCGCCTCTCCTTCGGGCTCTACATCTCTTTTGACTTTATGTATGTGGGCACCTGGTATCTGTGAGGGTTTACTCACCCAATGCTACATTGGAATTTAATCAACGATGCGGATCTAGAAATTACAGCTAAAAAACACACCGGAATTTAATTGACGGCTTGCTTTGTGTTCCATTCGTGACCTGTCTGAGATTCAATAAGGTTAGTAGACAGATTTCTTGTCGAATGCAAGAAGAGAAGTGATTGAAACTGTCGCAAGTATTTATCTCGAAGATGATTTCCCCAACATGGCATGAGATCTACTTACTCATTTTAAGCTCAATTTACCTCACGAAATCCGCAAAAATAGAGAAATTGCACCAAATACTCTTAACTAATAAGATGACTTTGAACATTGTTCGCTGATAATTTTTTATTTTGGCCGCAAGAAAAAACTGCCAATTTGTTACAGCATCGTCATAACTACCAAAAGTTTACTTTAATGCATTCTCCGAGCAGCTTGAGGATTTACTACTGCAGCTTTGAGAAATCAGAAATTTTAACATCCACTTGAAGTGACATTGGGAGAGCTAGAAGAGGACAACTTCAATTATGAACAAAGAATCAATTTCAGGTGGAAATAACCTTCCATAACACAGATTGCTTTTGACACGAAAGCGACCTTTTGGGGGGGGGGGGGGAAATTTGCCTCCAATGTGAACCCAAGGTTTTGGCTATCTGCCAAGAAGGATGCGTTCAAGACGGTTGATGATAACACTATCGTTTGTCTAACTCGGACAATAATGCAAGTTAGGTCGATGCAACTTGAATACCTGACAATAAAGCCAGAAAGATAAAGAGGGCATATACTAATTTTAAATTAACTAAAACCATCTTCCAAGAAGGTGTGTACTTTTGGTTCTATTCACTTCACCATATTCCTCGACTTTAGCTTCTCTGTCGCAGCCATTCCTTCGTTTACTCTCCCTATGTGGTCTCTTAATTCCGTCGTTGAATTAATCTCTAGTTGAGGTATTCTATTTGGAGGATTATCAGCAAGTTTTGCGTAGGTGAGACTGCTTTAGGTTAGTGAAAAGTTGGAGCTCTCCTTTTTTTTCCTAAATTTCCTGCCCTCTCCATGTAACTACTAGTACTGCTAAATTGTCATTTGATTTGGTAGACAAAATCCGGTACTAGTACATATAGCATTTCTCACTCTCCATAGTCCTGTTTTCCAAGCTTCTTTTTTTAAATTTTTTTTTATTGATGCCCCCTTTGTAAATGTCCTCGACACATTTGAACTATCTCGCGTTGCTCGTACAATTGATTCAGTAGCTAGTGAAACGATATTTGTTGAAAAAAAAGGAATCTATTTCGAATAGCTTCGTTGCCTCAAACTACGTCAAAAGCGTTATGAGATTTTCTTATGTCATATAGTACCTTCTTTTGAGTCTATACGTTAATTTTGAGAATAATTCTCCGGTTTTTCCTTTGAGAACTGATCTCAAAAAGATTACTTTTGAACTTGTGGATTATGGAAAAACGTAATTCATACCACCGCATGAAGACTATTGCATGTGGAGTCAGCCATCGAAGTTCCGATCTGCACCTTACCCGGGTCCTTTGATAGGGATAGCTCATGGGCTTGGAATTTCTCAATGAAGGAAGAACGTGTCCTTGGAGCAGGAAAATTACCAAAAAAATTGTTAATTCTATTGCACTTGTGCCAATTCAGTCCTAAATTTTTTAATTTAATTAATTTAATCCTAAATTTTTTAACGATTTGCCAATCAATCTTAAACCTTTCTATTGTGCCAAATAATTCTGAACCTTTTGACGATCTGTCAATATAGTCATTTTAGTCAATTTTGATCGAAAATTGCCGAAACTTTAAATTTTTAATTTTTTTCTTTTTTTCTTCAATTCTTTTCTTTTCTTTTCCTAATTCTAGGCCGGCGACGGTCGCGACTCCCTTGCCTCGACTAGGCAAGGCGGGTTAGGGATTAAGAAAAGAAAAGAAAAGAAAAGAAAAGAAAAGGAAAGAAGAAGAAAAATAATAAAAAAATTCAAAAATTATCTATGTTAGCATCAGCCGTCTCACATAGGGCAGCCCACACTAACTAGACTATCACGTCAGCGATTTATGGCCAAAATTGGCCGGAATGATTAAATTGGCAAATCGTCAAAGGGTTTATGATTAAATTGGCAAAATTGAAAAGTTTAAGATTAAATTGGCAAATCGTCATAAGGTTAAATTGATTGAATTAAAAAGTTTAAAATTGAAGTGGGACAAAAGCACTAAATGTAAGAATTTTTTTTGGTAATTTTCCCCATTGGGACGTGGGACTCTTGCCATTTGCTTCTTTGCCTCAAATTAAAGCAGCGAATCAAGTTGTCGTTTTGATTCCCCACAGGTTTTCTCATGGCAAACTCCACCCAGACAACCCACATCATGGATTCGACCCAAAAAAAAAAAAAAACCCACATCGTGGCTGTGTGCTTCTTTTATTTCTCTAAAGTCCTTCCGTTTTCATTCTTGCCTTGCATCTCGACTCCTAATCAACAAGTGACACTCGAAAATACTGAGGTACTCAAGCATCGGATCAAAGTCCAAATATAAATGCTGAAAGCTAAAAAGTTTTGCACCTGGAATACTAGTTGACCACATCTTTCCCCTTATGCTCTCAGCAGTCTTACAATGGATGTCGACAAAATTCTGGGAATCGCCAAAGATGCCGTCGGTCTTGTGCAAAAGGTCATCAACGTTGGTGGAGCCAAAGCGAAGATGGATGCAGTGGAAATGAATATGGGAATTGTCTCAAGTCTCAACCAGGAAGACTGACATAAGTTTTGAACTAGACCAGGAAGAGAGGAGACCGGGAAAGAAAAGGAAGAAAGAAATTGACTTGTGGATGCAAAGTAAAAGTGTAGGATCGCTAGAGGATCGAGTCCACGAGTTGAGACGAAGAGTCAAAGAGCGGCATTTCTTTTTCTCGTCTCATGTTGGAGGATCAGGTGCGTACCCTTGCGGCTAAAGTGGAAATATCGCGTGAGAAGGGCAGACTTGATAACGGTCTCACGCTTGGATGTGAAACTGGCCCGAGGCTATGAACTACAACCAGGGTAAGCGGGACAAGCTTGTCAAACAAAGAGGGATGAGATCTGGTATTGCTTGATGAACCAAGAGGCGCTCCATCTGGCTGTTTGGGGACAGGCCGGGGTGTGCAGAACCTTTTGCGTGATGCATATACATGATCAAATAGTGCAAGATTGTGCAAGGTTCGATGGTGCTTGTTTGATAACTATATCGCAAGAACGCACTGTTGGTACTATACAAACTGATATTGCGAAATATCTCGAACTAGATTTGATGGGGGTGAACGGTGTTTTACCGGGTCCAAGGCTGAAGGAGGCATATCAGGGTGGGAGACGACTCCTTATTTTGAATGATGTTTCGAAATATTACTCTTTGGAAGAAGTCGGTATATATAGTCATAGAAAGACATGGATGTAAATTGATCGTGATGTCACGATTGAGCTATAGCTGGAATGAACTGTCACGAGCTGGTCCATGTATAAACTCTTCCCGAGCAGATACCTCAAGTTGTATTTAAGTGTCAAATTGGAGATACGGTCATTTTTCTGGATGCTATTATTGACTTTGCTTTGCTTGAAAGTCTGTGAATCCACCGAATAACTTTTCTCTCTGCCTATTCATGTTCGAACTCGAGTGCTTTCAGTTTGTGTTACCACCCCAAATGCTCTCTTGAGATACTGTGAAACTCCTCAAAATGTAACATGTTTGGGTTCCCTTGAAATTAGCGCCTCTTCATTTCAAAATGACTCGCTTTCAACTCCCGTCCGCGCACACCCTTGCTCTCCTCCTACGTATGTGTACTAGATACAACTCTTCAAGAACTATTAATCTAACAACTCTAATGACTTATTCCGACATAAACTGAAAGAAAAAGGGGTTTTGCACATAATCTGCAAGAGTGAATATATACATCCTCCAAAGAAGACAAGCTGAAAGTGGTCCGAATGCCACTCAATGGCATCCATGTAATCAACAATAATGGGATGATTTTCAATTGTCTCATTTAGAAGCATTTCGGATTCTACACGTTCCACAATGTTCCCGCATACATTAGCACTTATATTGACTTTACCCGCTGCAGAGAACCAGAACCTACTATTAAAGGTATTACCATCCACCACAAGATGTCTGTAAACCCTGTATTTTGCAGGTCATCCGGATAAGAAAATAACTCAACATTACCCTACGAAGCAAAGCACCACACAAAAACAGTGCTCCGTGTCTCGCGAATTCTCTCACCCTCGAGCCGAACAAGGCTAACTAACTTTGAGCAAGATGAAGTCTGACATCTGTAACTTACAAGTACAAATTAACCAAAGAAAAAAGAACCAAGAAAATCGCACATACCTAGGACAAGTTCCTTTCATGCATAAATGATTCTATTTTCTCAACATCTTCTGGAGTATCAACACCGTGAGCCTCATGATCAACCTTTATCACCTGTTTAAGTAAAAAAGAAAAAAATCACCGTTCAATCAGAATGCCAGAAACACAAACAGCTAGCTTTGCGTTCTCCTAGCAGTGACCCGTCTGGAATTCAGAATACAGATTCATTTGTTAGACAAAGGCATCCTGATAGAGTCAAGATGAGAGGTGATTGAAATTTTAGCAAGTATTTATCTTGAAGATGAAGATTTTCTCCTCATTTTAGCCACAAATTACATGAGGAAATCCACAAAATGGAGAAATTGCAGCAAAAACCCTTAACTAATAAGATGACATTGAATATTGTTCACTGATAATTTATTATTTTGACAAAAAAAAACCACCAATTTGTTTCATCATCTTCATAACTACCAAAACTTTGCCTCTTTGTATTCTCCAAGCAGCTCGAGGATTTACTGATGAAAAGAGAAAGGAAAAAGTCCAGTATACCTTCATTTTATAACCATTCTCAAGAACTTTAAGCTGTTCTAGATCCTCCTCAAGCTGGAGCGGGGTAGGCTGAAGCTCTGGATATATCTTTAGAAACTTTGAATCATAGCTCTGTGAGAGATCAGTAACAGAGATTTATTAAAACCCACGTCTAACACTTGTCCTCACCAAACTTCAAGAACCAAACTGAAAATCTACCTGAATTCCAAGATGAAGCAAATAGGGAAACTGTGGATTGACCTTTCCAGATCTGTTTCATTCAGGAAGATGGGTGCTATCATGACAAACAATTACATATACCAATAATTCCGAGAAATAGCGAGATGAGTGCAGAATCTCTACACACAATCATAGTAGAGCATAAGGGTGAAACGGGAACTTACTTGTTATGTGGAATTAATCCCCTGGAGAAGTAAATAGCATAGCCACGATTATCCACAACACATTTAACACGATTTGGATCAAATGCATCTTCAGGTTTTAAAGAGGTAACCGCAGTGCTAAACACTGCATCTGGGGCAGCCTGCAAACACCATGAGGGTAAATGACTGCAGATACATAAAGAGACCCCAGAAGAAGTATTGCAGCTTCAAGCGATCAGAAATTTTAATATTTAATTGCAGTGACCTTGGAAAAGTTAGAAGAGAATTCTTCAGTTATGAACATCGAATCAATTTAAGCAGGTGGCAGTAACCTTACATAAGAAATAGTAGCAATAAGAGATGTCAATTTACCTGGAGAGCTTTAACAACCCCATCAATTATCTCGGGTTCGATAAGAGGCTCATCCCCCTGGATGTTGACAACTATGTCATACTTTTTGTCAAGCTTTTGTAGAGCTTCATTGCAGCGTTCAGTGCCTAGAGATAATTATAATAACATAACTGCTCTCCGAGTAGGTCAACATCAGAACAACAATAACCACCAAAAAGCTCACCATTCCGACATGATTCCGATGTCATTATCACATCTGCACCAAATCCTCGACAGCATTCTGCTATCTTTTCATCGTCCGTGGCCACAACTACATCCAAAGGAGCTACAAATGAGGAAAAAACAAGTGCATGCATGCACGACTAGCACGAAAGATAACAAATGAGAGATTATATATGAATACCACACAAAGATGCAGAATTCCAAACAAAATTGAGTCGCATGTTAAAACAAATCATAATTTCACCAATTCTATGAGTCGATAACTGCAGCAACTTTACCTATAATTATTTCAATGCAAGATCTCAATTTACTAGTTTCTCAAGGTCATAACATGGCGAAGAAAAATATAGTTGTTTAGCCAAAACAAAGATATGAAAAATGAGAGAGAGAGAGAGAGAGAGAGAGAGAGAGAGAGAGAGAGAGAGAGAGAGAGAGAGAGAGAGAGAGAGAGAGAGAGAGAGAGAGAGAGAGAGCATGTTAAAGTCATGTAAAATAACCAAATACCGTTATTTTACTTCAGAAGCCAATTAAATAAGTTTTGCCTCAATGCCACATTTAAAAGATAAAACTAGTCACTGGTAAAATGGAGAAATCCTAAGAAATTGGTTTACTAGTGCATTGGAGAGGATAATAAATGTTTAAGGGAAAATAGCTTGGTGTCCTAGGTGAAGCATAGAGATTTCAAGAAAAATGCTGTATCTGTTTGAAATAAAGGAGAAAAGCCATACAGAACACCAACTTGATGGTTTGTGAAACTTTATGCGCGACAAAATTGCATGAAAAAGAAAATCAAATTGGGTCAGACTAATGTACAGGGACCAGACATACCGACATGATCCAAAGAAGCAGCTAGTTTAGCTCTCTCCCACGTTCTCTGCCATGCAAACAAAAGGCAACTCAATGAGCCATATGGAAAAATGAGAAATCACTATCCAACTTTGTTCAATCAACAAATCCATTTCAGAGCCAAATTATCCAATCACAACAGACTCAGAGAATTGTCCTTTTCCTATTCAAATTGGAAGTCTTATGCAATTAACATGACTGCAAATTGGTCGTATGCATCTAAAGACACATCCATCTGCCTTTCCACCCCAATGTAGAGAATATTTCTACCTACTGATTTAGTTAGGAACATTTTTACCATGAGATTACTTACTTAGCAACAGATCCCACAACTATAAATAATGATGCAGGCCAATTAGTCAGTTCAGTCTTATGTCGATATAATTTAAGATAGCTCTTCTTGATTCATCCTTTGTTTCTTTCTTGAGTCTCCAAGGCTTTTGGAATCAAGTTGCCACCACTTATTTCTTCCTAGTGGTTTATTGCTTCCGCAAGCACCAAAAAACTTGGCTACTTTCAATCATATCCCAGCTAGTCTTTTATTCATCGATATAGAGGAAAAGTATTCTTCCACAAATACTTGAAACTGATAACTTACCAAAGGCGAGGAGCATGCTTGTATTCTTGCCTACTTTCCTAAATTTTAAACAGGAAACTGAAGAAATAATAACTCTATGCAATAGGATTTACTGTTTAATTCATTCTAAGTTCTTTTGGAAATTTACAAGTTTCTATGTTCTGACAATGTCTTGTAAATCTATTGATCATTATACCAGTCATTCCCTAACAAATTTAAACTCTATTCTTGCATGCAATTGATTATACTCGTAATACAAAAAGCTGGACATAGTGATCCATCAATTGAAGATCCCTGAAAGAGCAACATAAAAATTTGTACTTCAGCCAGCATCATCTAAAATTTTGTTTCCACTTTATTATAAACAAGGAAGAAAGGCAAACAGATACAGGGAAAGGAAGCAAAATGGGAAATGTGAGAAATCAAACAAGAGAACAGATAGGATCATGTAAAACTGGGTACACAGAGAATTATCCCAAAAGCATACGATTTTGGACAATTTGTGATATGCATACAGGCCAAGAATGCATTTTTCAACTGAAACAAATATGTACTTAATTCTACAAAGATCCTCAGCTTATCCATTGAAATTCTAAGCAGACTGAGATAAAGAAAACGTAACAGCTTTCTCTAACAAGTAACAACAATTCTAGACAGAGGCTTCATATTATCATCGTGCATCCAAGACTGTCCATTGAGATTGCAATTACATAGTATGACTCGACACAAAGAGTCGGGAACACCGGATCAAGATGCTAATCAGTTCAAAATATGGGCAAAGCTATGAGATAGAGTCGATCCACAATTCAAATGAACTACATAATACCTGGATCATGGGCTTGCCCAGAATGGGAACCAGAGGCTTGCCCTGAAACCGAGACGAAGCGAACCTGGCGGGTATGATGCCCACGACCCGGCTCCGGAACTTCTTGGATCCGCCGAGATAAGCCCGAGCGCCGATTGCCGCCGCGACTGCCGCTCCGACGACGATCCCGTGCACGATCCACGCTTTGGTGGTGGAATACGAAGAAGAGGAGGGCCCGGACGAGGAGGAGGAGGAGGAGGAACAGATCGACATTGGGTTCATGTCTTACCACGCGAGAGAGAGAGCCACGACACGACGCTCGTGCCAATGTTCTTGACCGGTGGGTTTGAGTTGCTGTCGACGTTGCTGTATATCCACATCCGTCGTCTTCGTTTGATTTGAGATTCAGGCTGTTTCCCGAAAAATAATTTTCCTCCTTCGCAAAAATAAACTAATCAAGAAAATATTTTCTTTAAATATGAAAAAAAAATAATTTCCCCCTTTTTGAAGAGAGAAAATCATTTTCCCTCCTCTTTCTTTTTACCCAGACCAAGCATGTTCTCCTCCCGTGAAATCATTTTAATTATTTTTAAAAAAATTTTGAATTTTGAATTACTTTTTTCTTTTTCCTTCTTCGTCGCCACAGCAATAGCCGATGAGGCTCGAGCTCGCTGGCCTTGGGCAAGCTCGTCCCTCGCCTGTGATTGGTTGCCAGCCGTCATCATGGCTAGTGACCGATCGAAGAAGAACGAAAAAGAAAGAAAAGAAAAATAAAAAAATTATTAAAAAGAGTTCAAGGAGGAAAATCAAATCAGATTTTTTATACCAAACGGCGGAAAATATTTTCTAATTCATTTTCAGGTTTCAGCCAAATATCGGAAAATATTATCATTTTCCTGGAAAAAAAATAACTTCATGTAAATTTTTTTTCAGAAATGTCATATTTTTCGCGAAACAAACGAAACCTAAAAATTTTTGGAAAATTATATAAGTACAAATATGAAGGAGGAGAGAAAAGGGTGCGCGAGAACGAGAGTTGAAAGCTAGTCATTTTGATTACTGTACTTCAGTTCTTACTCTGGAATTCGGATAAAAGGGAGGTTAGTTACAAAATGAAGCGGTGTCAATTTCAAGCGCACCCAAACATGATACATTTGAGGAGTTTCACGGCATCTTAAAAACAGCACTTTGGATTCGAACATGAATAGGCAGAGAGAAAAGTTATTCGGTGGATCCACAAACTTTCAAGCTAAGCTCAGTCAGTGAAAATGCCATCAAGACAAATGGCCGTATCTCAAGCTTGAAACTTCATCCAACCCATTGAGGTATCTCCTCCGGAAGAGTTGCAAGATAAACAAGCTCGCGACAGTTCATTTGCTCGCACACATCGCTCGATTGTGAAGTCACAATCAATTTACATCCATTTCTTTCTAGGACTAGACCCACTTCTTCCAAAGAGTAATATTCCCAAACATCATCCAAGATGAAGAGGAGTTTCCTACCCTGCAATGCCTCCTTCAGTCTTGCGCCCCGGTAAACACCGCTCGCCTCCGTCAAATCTAGTTGGAGATAGTTCGCGATATCAGTTTGTATCGTCCCAACAGTGCCTTCTCGCGATACATTGACCAAACAAGCACCGTCGAACCTCGAACAATCTTGCACTATTTGATCATGTATATGCATCGCGAGAAAGGTTTTGCCCACCCCCGCCTGTCCCCAAACACCCAGACGGAGCACCTCTTGGTTCATCAAGCAATCCCAGATGTGATCCCTTTTTGTTTGGGAAGCCTGTCCAACTAGTTCCCCTGGTTGTAGTTCATAGCCTCGGACCGGTCGCGCATCCAGCGTGAGACCATTATCAAATCTACCCTTGTCGTGCAATTTTTCCACTTGAGTCGCAAGGCCATTCACCTGATCCTCCAACATGAGGCGAGAAAAGAAATGCCCCTCTTCAACGTTTCGTCCTAACCGGTGGACTTGATCCTCCAGCGATCCTACACTCTGCATCCAAAAGTCAACTTCTTTCTTCCTTTTCTTTCCCGGCCTCCTCTCTTCCTGCTCTAGTTCCAAAACTATGTCAGCCTTCCTGGCGGACACCATTCCCATATTCATTTCCAGAGCATCCATCTTCGCTTTGACTCCATTGACCTTGCTGACCTGTTGAACAAGACTGATGGCATGTTTGGCGATTCCCAGAATTTTGTTGACATCCATTGTAAGTCTGCGGAGAGCATTAGGGGAAAAATGTCGTCAATTAGTGTTTCAGGTACAAAACTTTTTAGCTTTCAGCATTTACATTTTGACTTCCATCCGATAATTGAGTACCTCTGTATTTTCGAGTGTTAATTGTCAATTAGTATTCGAGGTGCGAGACAAGAATGAAATTGGAAGGACTCAAAAGAAATAAAAGAAGCCCTGATTTGCTAGGGGAAAACCTGCGGGGAATTAAAACAACAACATAATTCGCTTTAGACGCCTGCTATAAAATCCAAGCCCATGAGCCACCCCCCAACTAACTCGATTGAAAGGGCCCTGGTAAGGTGCAAATCGCAACTCGGGGGGCTGACTCCACATGGAATAGTCTTCATGTGGCGGTGTAACTTATGTCGTGCCATAATCCCCACGTACAGAAGTCTTTTTATCTTTTTTAGATCAGTTTTCAAAGGAAAACAAGCAAAAGTTATCCTCAAAATTGATTTGTTGACTGAAAACAAGGTACCGTTTGATATAAGAAAATTGAATGAAAAGTGAAAAAGCTCCTGGCTTAGTTTGAGGCAACCAAACCGCTCCAAGTAAATTACTTTTTTTCTTTAATAAGTATCATTTCGCTAGCTATTAAAGCTCTGTTTGGTAACATTTTTGTTTTTTTTTTGTCCGTTCTTTTGTTTCCTGAAATAAAGAATAGAAAAAAAAAGAAATCCATTTGGTATTGTTAGTTAATTTTTTCTATTTTCTAGAATAAGAAAGTGGTCAGAGAATAGATTTAGAATATAAATAAAAAGTAAAAGAAATATATTTTTCTGTTCTCGGAAACAAAAAGAGAAATAAGGTAAACGGAAGCAAGAAAATCTTCACTATCCATGCCACCTCCACCGCCACCACCACCCACGCCACCACCACCGTTGCCCGAGTCACTACCTCCTCCGACATCTCCACCACCCACGCTTCCTCCATCGCCACCTCCTCCAACACCATCACCACCCACGCCTCCACCCTCAACTCCAACGCCTCCTCCACCCATGCCACCTCCACCGCCATCTCCTCCAACACCTCCACCGCCCATGCCTCCTCCATCGCCACCTCCTCAAACACCACCACCACCACCACCCACGCCTCCACCATCCCCACCTCCAACGCCTCCACCACCCACCAAGATCTCCTCCACCATCATCACCGCCACCGCCATCACCCCAATCACCACCTCCTCCTACACCTCCACCACCCGCGCCACCTCCTCCAACATCATCGCCACCCCCGCCTTCTCTGCCACCGCCACCGCCACCACCACGGCCCGAGTCACCACCTCCTCCGGCACCTCCATCACCCACTCCTCCTCCACCGCCACCTTCTCCAACACCACCACCTCCAACGCCTCCTCCACCCATGCCACCTCCACCGCCACCTCCTCTGACACCATTGCCACCCACTTCCTCCGCCACTGCCACCACCAACGCCCAAGTCACCAGCTCCTTCGACACCTCCATCACCCACACCTCCTCCACCATCGTCCCCGCCACTGTCTCAGTCACCACCCCCTCTTCCACCTCCACCTCCCATGCCTCTATTGACATTTTTATAATTAAATGAAAAAAATTGAAAATAAATTTTTTTTCCAATTACCAAACGTGTTCTTTTGCTTATAAACTCATTCAGGACATTTAGGATTAACCCACTCAGGTTATTGTTCGCTTTGGGAAGCGTATAAATAGGCAATTTCCCAAGAGATCACCCATCTTGGTAATGCTCTTAACTAAGCAGCTTAACATTGGAGTTCCAATGCTAAACTTGCCGTTACATCATAAGCCACCTCTTATGAGTTAATTTAAATTTAACGTATATAATCTAGGAACATTTTCCCCCTGTTTGGTGTGCTATTCGGTTCATTCTTGCTATCTTCGCCAAGCCTATCGGGAGCTGCTCATCCGAGTGCTCTCACCCCGATGATCACTTCTCGTGTTAGTCGGACATGGTAGTTACAAGCTCACTAGCTTTTGCATGGTTTGTCCTCGAATGACACACCAACTGGAAGGGTTCCACTTTGATACCATATTATGAAATTCATGAATTAACTCACTCGAGGTGTTGTCAGTTTTGGTCTGTCTAACACTAAGCCTCACGGATTTGTCATTTGGCATATAGGTAGGCACTTTCCCAGGTTATCACCCATAATGGTAGTGCTCTTACCTGAACACGCTTAATATCGGAGCTCCAATGCTAAACTTGTTATTACGTCAAAAGCCACATCTTGTGAGTTAATTCCGATTTTACATATATAATCTAGGAATGTTCTCCTGATGTTCGATATTCATGTTACATTGGCCATCCTAGAAGCCTACTAGGATCCGCTCATCCAGACGCTCTCACCCCGATGATCACTACCCGTACTGACAAGAATGGCAGAACGGGTAGATGTAGATCCAGCAGCTTCTGCTTGGCTCTCGTCCTGATGATCACTCCTTGACCACTGCTGGAACAGGTAGTTACACATCCAGCAGCTTCTGCGTGGCTCTCGTCCCAATGATCACTCCTCGTCCGATGTAGGAACCATCCCAGCAGCTTCCACGTGGCTCTCGTCCCCGATGATCACTCCTCGTCCGATGTAGGAACCGTCCCACCAGCTTCCACGTGGCTCTTCCACCAACGATCACTCCTCGTTCTCGGAATGGGTAGTTACAAACCCACAAGCAGAGGAATTGAGAGAATATATAGGCAGAGTAAGGAGGGAATGGCAGGGAGAGAGAAGCCCAAGTCGAGGAAAATGGTGAAGTGAATAGAAGCAGAGGAAACTTCGCAGTCATTCAGCTCTTTCAAGTCAATGCCCGACGCAAAAGTCTTGAGGCACGGGGTCTACGGCGAACACCATCCTGGAAGACGGCTTTATGTTGATGTAAAATTTAAAGCCCTCTTTACTTTTTCTGCTTTATGATCGCTTTGTTCACATGCACCAACTTTAACTTTGCACAATTGTCCGAGCCAGACAAACGATAGAAGTATCATCATCATCAAGAGTCTTGGATACACCTTCTGGGAAATAGCCAAAGTCTTTGGGTCGCATTGGAGAAGTTTCTTATTACCTAAAACAGTCGCTTTCATGTAAAAACACTAGTTGATGCCTTGTGCATTGTGCTGATAAACATATAATTTGCGAAAGATATTTGAGACTATTTCTAGCCCCCTTTAGCTTTTCATCTTCGTTGTCATGTCACATCGCATGAACCAACGTTTCTCGGAGATTGGATAACTGTATAATCCAATGAATTTTGTATATATTTCAGAAAAAATCAATAATTCGAAATTTTTTTTTCTTAAAATGATTGTTTACATCACTCAAAAAAATGAATTAGCGAGGGAAAAATTGTCCAAAAAGTTATAAACCTATTGCACTTTTGCTAATTTAGTCCTAAATATTTTAAGTTTGCCACTTCAGTTCTAAACCTTTTCATTTTTTGCCAATTAAATCCATCCAGCCAATTTTGGCCGGTCGGCGCTGACGTGGCCACCGGCCGGCGTCGACTATCCAGCCAACGTTAACGTGTTTATTTTTTAATATTTTTTTTCTGCCTTCTTCACTCTCGCCGGTTCGGCAACCGGCGACTGGCCAGAGGTGCAGGCCGGCAAGGTTGACCTCGCCCGCTACTGCCAGGCTGATCTCGCCCGCTGTTGCCAGGCCGATCTCGCCTAGCTAAGACGAGGCCGACCTCTCCATCGCTGGATGAGGTGAAACCTATCGACGGCGAGGTCGAGTCTCGTCTAGCCATGGCGAGGTCGAGCCTCGCCTAGCCATGGCGAGGCCGACCTCGCCATCTCTGGGTGAGGTGAAACCTAGCCATGGCGAGGTCGAGCCTCGCCCAGCCATGGCGAGGCCGACCTACGACGACGCTGGCCGACCTCGCCGTCGCTGGGCGAGGTGAAACCCAGCGATGGCGAGGTCAGCCTCGCCATGGTTGGTCGAGGCTCCACCTTGCTAGATTTGGGTGAGGTCGGCCAGCGTCGTCGCAGGTCGGCCTCGCCTTGGCTGGGCGAGGTCGGCTTTGCAGTGGCGGGCGAGGCTCGCCCTAGCTAGTGGTTGGGGGGGGCGAGCTTTGCCAGAGGCCGGCGAGGTCGACCTTGCTGGCCCGCGCCTCTGGCCAGTCGCCGAACCGGCCAGAGGGAATAAGGGTAGAAAAAGAAAAGTAAAAAAAGAAAAAAAGTATTAAAAATTTCGGAAAAAATATTTAAAAATTGCCACATTAGTGTTGGCCGGCCAAAATTGGTCGGATGGACTCAATTGGCAAGAAGTGAAAAGGTTTAGGACTGAATTGATAAACTTAAAAGTTTGAGACTGAATTGGCAAAAGTGCAATAGGTTTAGTACTTTTTAGATGATTTTCCCAATTAGCGAGCAATATTGTCATCAATGACGACGAAAATTTCTACACGTAATAATGAATATATTGTTCCATTAATTATTAATTTCAAGCGTCACAGACAATCACTTTTAAGAAAATGTCTTTCAAATTATTGATTTAAGGTGAAACAATCAATTGCAAAACCACATGGGAAAAAGTACCAAAAAAGTTACAAACCTATTGCATTGGTACCAATTCAGTCCTAAACATTTCAATTGGATCAATTTAGTCCTAAACCTTTTCACATTAGTACCAATTCAATCCATCTGGCCAATTTAGGCCGAAAATTGTTAAGGTGGATGCTAGCGGTCCTACGTCGCACCGCCGGTGCTGACGTGGATAAATTTTACAAATTTTTTATAATCTTTTTAGATTTTTTTTAATGTTTTTTTTCTTTTTCCTTTTCCTAGAACTGGTTGGCCGGCGACCCTTGCCTGGTCTGAGCGAGGGCCCCTGTGCCCTCGCCGGCCACGGGTGAGGGCTGCCGTGCCCTCCTTAGCCACGGGCGAGGGTCGATGCTCTCACCCAAATCTAGGCCAGTGCCAAAACCCTTGCCCGCCACAGGTGAGGGCATGGCGGCCCTCGCCCAGACAAGCCTGTGGCCAGCGATGGTCGACTGGCAATCTCTCCGGCCAACCAGTTCTGGGAAAATAAAAAAAGAGAGAAAAAAATTAAAAAAATCTGAAAAAATTATTAAAAAATTATAAAATTTGTCTACATTAGCCCCGACAGTGTCACGTAGGACCGCCAGCGTCTACATCAGTGATTTCCGGCTTAAATTGACCGGATGGACTGAATTGATATCTATGTGAAAATATTTATGACTAAATTAGTCCAATTAAAAGGTTTATGATCGAATTGATATCAATATAATAGGTTTAAGATTTTTTTGATATTTTTCCCAATTACGTGTGACATTTTACCCCGAGGAGGAAAGAGACACATGGTTTCACTAATGAAAAACAAGAAGAGAGTAAGTTTCTGCGCCCGGCATAACGTGCCATATTTCTGTTGGTTCGATCCAAAGACTAGAGTGGATTGGCTGCTGGAACATACGGAAGCACAGGAAACTTCACAATTACTTCCCAGGGCTCATGGTGCTGAGATGCTCAAAAGTCAAAAGTCTTCAGGGATGAAGATTAGTTTAATTAGTTTAAGCAATTTTTAAGCTTCTTTTCTTTTCGTGTCGTTTGTCTTTTCTTCTAACTTCTTCACAGGGCTCACGACTAGTTTAATTTGAGGCAAAGACGCAATTGGCAATAGTTGGAACGCCCCATGGACATGGTTCTTCCTTTGTTGAGAAATTCCAAGCCCATGAGCTACCCCCGCTATCCCTTTTTTAAGGTGCAAATCGAAACTTGGGTGGCTGACTCAACATGCAATACTTTATGTGGTGGTATGAATATGTGCCTTAATCCACACGTACAAAAGTAATATTTCTGAGATCAGTTTTTAAAGAAAAACAAGGAAATATTATTCTCAAAATTAATTTATAGACTCAAAACAAGGTATTCTTCAATATAAGAAAATCCAATGAAAAGTGAAAAAGCTTTTGACGTAATTTGGGGCAGCGAGGTCATTCGAAATAGAATACCTTTTCCTTTAAATAACATCGTTTCACTAGTTACTAAATTTTAGACAAGCAACTCGAGATGGTTCGAATGTGTCAAAGACATCAACAAAACAAATACATAGAAAACCAGACTAGACAGAGTTACCAAATGATGTGGCATGTAATTATTGCTGAATTAAAGCCACTCACTCTTTGTATCAGATCCAACTTTCAGAATATTGAAAAAAGATGACAAAGGTGATTATTGTGATTTTACATCATTCAGTAATAATTCTATAGTAAGAACTCATTTACTCAAGCCCTATTGACCAATATTTCTGCATAGAGCCACCAGATTCAGCGGGACGAATGGATTGAAAGTCTGTGCATTTGATCTATGCAATAATTTTCGAGTTTGATAGCATCTAGTTTTAATTAAGTTACAACTGAGGATATGAGCCACGCACTACCAGAGGAAGAAGTGAAGCAAGCTATGTTCCAGTTGGGTGCCTCGAAAACTCCTGGAGTTGATTGATGGCTTTGCAGGAATCTTCTTTCAGACTTTTTGGGTTGTAGTTGGGCGAAATTACATATAGCAATGCAATCACCATGTGTAAAATTGCGACCGATATTGTATCTTTGAGCTTTGACTCGAGTGCATGAGTTTCTCCTCCTCATGATGGCCTTCCTGGGGTTTAGGTTCATGGTTTAACATAAATATCCTGCATTTGGTTGTTTGTTCTCCACTTCAAAATTGTCGGATAAATAAGAAGTAAGAAAGGAACACGCATTTCCAAGAGTCACGGTTCACAATAACTCTCTTATGATACAAGTTTTTGGTGAAGGGCATTGGCAATTCTCAACGCCAATATCTTCCATGTTAGCAAGGAGTCATATCAACATAGGCGTGAGCAGCTTCTTGATTTTCAGGCATTCCATGCATCGTAACTGTTCATCGTTCTATGTCTAGTTTAATGTTGGGTTAATACCACGAAAAAACCCAAACTGGTATGCCTATGACAATTTTACCTCGAACTAATTTTTTGACCACCAAAAATCCCAAACTAGTACATTTGTGACAAATTTATCCCGAATTATTTTTTTGACCACCAAAAATTCCACACTGGTACACTTATGACAATTTTACTCCGAACTAATTTTTTGACCATAAAAAATCCCAAACTGATAGACCTGTGATAATTTTACCCCAAACTAATTTTTTGACCATTAAAAACCCAAACTGATACATTTGTGACAAATTTACCCTCCGTTAGTGTCCGTTAAATTGGATTAATATCACGAAAAATCGCAAATTGATAAACTCGTGACAAACAGAGGGATAATACCCCAAGCTGGTACACCCGTCAACTACCATGCATTATCAAACTTAGCAATTTGATAGTAAAATTTAATGGAAACTAACATATGGTAATTTTGTCACAGGTGTACCAGTTTGGGGTTTTTGGTGGTCAAAAAATTAGTTCGGGGTAAAATTATCACGGGTATACCAGTGTGGGGTTTTTGGTGGTCAAAAAATTAGTTCGGGGTAAAATTATCACGGGTATACCAGTGTGGGGTTTTTGGTGGTCAAAAAAATAGTTCGGGGTAAAATTGTCACAAGTGTATCAGTTTGAGATTTTTTTTGGTCAAAAAAATAGTTTTGGGTAAATTTGTCACAGGTGTACGAGTTTAGGGTGTTTTGTGGTATTAATCCTTTAATGTTTTGTGAATTCCCAAAAATCTATTTCCTTGAAATGCTAGATAATGTTATGAGTCATTTAAGAGTAAGAGTCATGCAACAAACCTATATAAAGGCAAGTCTTGTGATCATTTTCGATAAGGTGAAAAAAAAAACCCATTTGTCTTCTTCTCTTCCTTAGGGTGTGTAAGTCGTGACGGTTTTCACCTTCAAATTATTCTATCAAATTGATATAAGAGCATACGGTTTGTAATCATGGGCTCAACAAACAATTAGCTTCCTCTTCAATACCCTCATCTTACCAAAGAAAATTAGGGTAATTAGACTGTTAGAATGAAAGCCCTACTTGGCACCTATGGTGCATGGGAACTTGTCAACACAGGCTATGATGAGCCAGACGAAAATGTCCAGTTTACCTTTATTTTATTTTGGGAAAAACAAAGAAATATAATAAATATCATTTCCTGCAACCATGATAATCTATATATAAAAAATCAAGATATCTTGTAATGGTCTTTACAACTATGTAAATCTATAAATAATGACCGGATTTTGGCAAACCGATATCATTTTAGTTTTTATATGAATAATACGTTTCTAAACTTTGCCACTTATCTTAAGTGTTTGAATATCTGGATCCGGATTAGCTTCACTGTCCAAATAAAAATAAGAGTATTGTTTAATATTTACACCAAGATGGCTATAAATGGGAACAGCTGTATTACTATAATACGAACAAAACTAATGTTAAAGAAGAACTCGTAGAAATCCTTGAGCTGCTTGGAGAGTACAAAAAAAGTACAGTTTTGGTAGTTATGAAGATGATGCAACAAATTGCCAGTTTTTTCTTCTTC